TGTCTAAATGGGGGAGGGGCAGCTAGTATGGCAAAGTTGGTGTATGTGCTAGAAGAAGAAGAAGAAGAAGAAGGTCTTCCGTAAATTCAGGCTGTCCTTAACCTTAAATTTCTCATTATCAGACACGCGACACATGTCACATCGCAACATCCAGAAGTGAACACAACATCCGTCTATGACTACACATTGCAATTGAGGCTTCCTGCTTAAATTTGCCTTTGCGGTCATTGCAGTGTTTTCTAAAACACAATCTCGATGTGTGCAATGTTGTAGATGAATGAAAACAGAATGACAGACGTTTCTGGTGTTTTGTTTATAACGTTATATCTCAATGTGTTTACATACAAAGGGTTGTACCCATGTTCGCTGTCTGTCCAGGTTATATGTGCAGTTCTATACCGTGACATCAGGACCGACCCTATAGAGTGATGATAGAGTGATGTAGTTGTGCTCGCCTGCCACCAGTGGCGTCTATTCAGCGTTACTTCATCTGCAGTTTTGGAAGAAGTCATCAGCATTTTTCTTGCATGTTCAATCCATCCATGGCCAGGTGTACTTACCTGAGCTATCCCAATATCACAGCACTATAAGGCATTGATATTTGCCTGCGTCTTTCTCCAAAGGGAACATCTCTTCACCACTCTGATACTGTAACAATACGTACGTGCATGGGTTGTCAGTCATTGTTAGCTGTGCGCCTCTGATACTTTTGTCTAAGATATTCACTAGAAATGTAAGATGGCATTGCATAGGATGAATCCAAAAGTGATGCTGAGATTCCAATTTAGTTTGGAGCCTTGAAATAAATATAAACTTCATGACCATTGCTGACATGTACGTGTAACATAAATCATTGCATCTTCCTGTTAGCTTTAGCTTAGTTTGTCTCTAGTATTAAAGCCCCTCTAGCAGCATGTGTTCAGTAGTGGAAGAAAATCCAGTCAAAAGCCGGATTTCCCTCCAGCCCGTTCCACCCGAGAGGTTCACAGGGTGAGGTGCGCTGTACACAACCATCGGCCGCGCTCAGAAATCGATAAAGTTTACAGTAAGTCCCGCCATTCTGCTGGTCTAATTCAGCCTCAAAACCTTCTCCCCACCACCTGCCGTCTACACGACAGGTGGTCGGATTGAAAGCACATCCAATTATCCTGACTGTGAGAGACAAAAATGCCAAATATTCTCTCATTGTGGGGTGATTGAGACAGAGAGAAAGACGGTGTTTCTTTACAATAACTGTGAAGTTGTTTTCCATTCTCCGGTGCATCTCGAACTCAAAGCTCGCCACGCTCCCTAATTACCAGCCGTGGACCTCCCTAATTGAAGACAACCAAAGCAGGCGGACTGCGCCAATATTTGACCCCGCACAAGTGGTGCTCGGCAGGCGGCGAGTTTGAACAGCGGGGCCCGCCAGGAAGGCAGCGGACCCAGGGTAAATTTGCGGCCGCCTCTCGCCAACAATATAGCTGTCAGATGGAAGAGATAGGAGAACACAACACATCCACGGACAGTTAGCCACGGAAAACGGCGCCGTATTTACAAACTAAAATCCCCCCATTAAAATCCAGCCATTCTATATATTTCTTCATGGTCTTACAAAGATCAACATCAATTAGCATGTTCAGACATCATGACTGTTTCAATACGTTTTGTTACAGGAAAGTTTAGATGACTTTACATAAAATTTGCATATTCAGGCCACCGAAAAGACTGGATTTTAGAAGGTTTTAAACGCTCTCTATACAGTACTGCATTCGGGATGCTAATAAGCTAAAGTGTATAGAGAACTCAAGTAAAGATGATTATAGTCACCATATTTGATCGTGTTATGATAAGGAAGAATTACATGCTCTTTTTGACGGCTTTTCACTTTTTTAACGCAAAAATACAGAAGATTTATTTCAAGTGCATGTTGAAATACAAAGGTGTAGACAGCATCGAAACGTAACGCCCGTCCGCGCACGCCTGACCAAATTTGTATATCTAGCCGTGACAATGCGCTCATTTTCAGACGACCATTTCTGTCAGATGAGTCACAGCGGAACTTGGCGGTTTAAACAGGAACTTGATTTGTCCTGTCTCCCTCCCTGGCTACCTGTAGGACTTGTTAGATAAACACCCCAGGCACATTTCAATGCTGAGTGGCTCCGAGCTGTTCAGCAAACATCATTAGCGGCAACATGGACACAGCGTATTCACTGGTACCTTTCATCAAATGACACAGGTGTAATAGTTACACCTTACAGACAGGTAAAGACGCGGTACAAAGCACGTGGTAGTGATTTTTCTGGATGAAGGAAAAGTCCTAGCGTTGCCTAACATGTCTCTCGTTATTTCCGTCTGATTTCTTTGTATTTCCCTTTTTCCCAAGTTTTTTTCTTTCCTTTTTTTCAACAATCTAACAAGTCAACGTTTAAGTCCCAAAATAAACTAACCAACAAACCTATGCTCCACCATTTCTTTACAATATCTCGTTAAGAAACAAAGCCCTGTTTCGTGGTTTTGTTATTTTTTGCTTTCTTTTTTCAACAATCTAACAAGCCGACGTTTTAGTCCCAAATTTGCTAACAAACAAACATACATACACTAACATTTCTCGGTATTTCTTACTTTACAATATCCCGTTAAGGAGCAAAACACCATTTAAGTATCGACTTGAAGTATTTATATGGATTGCGAGCACAAACCCACCTTTCAATGCTGTAATGTACACTGTAACGGCGCATACGTTCGATATCATAACAGTAACCGAACGGACCGTCTAATTGTCTCACCCGAAATGTGTTGATTGCGATCGTTGCGATGATAATTATGATGGCAATGATTTTGACATGATGACAAGTCTATGGTTTATGCTGTTAAAACATAGTGATGCATAGGAAATGCTGAGATGAAGACGATAATGATTACGGTAAAAAAATACGCTGTTTTGATGATGATGACAAATTGTGTGTTTCTCTAGAGCACAAAACGGATCCTTGAGGAATAAAGCGTCTGCCCCGAATGCCCGACGCTTGGTCCATTTGTTGTATAAACCGCCTCGAGCACTTCCCACTTCAGTCGGAAATGCGGTTTTTCCAAAGCAGGGAGGAGATTTTGTTGTCAGACGGTATTTCAGTCGTGTATATTGTTTACACACGGCAATTGAAACAAGCAGACGTATCATCGGACCTAAAATTTAAGACTATAATCTTCCCCTGACTTGTCTTACAGATTTTTGTGTGTTTGTTACTTCTACCGCCATCTTAAAATTCCGCCTCTCAGTCGAAGTCGTGATCTCTTCCTCGGCTAAGCGGCGCTGTTGGCGCAAGAAAACCCGTCGGTATTTCCAGTCAGTTAGTTTTCCGCGTAAACTGATCTCACAATGGGAATACCTCCGCGCCAAAAGTGCAACACTTGACGATCAGATCCGAAATAACAAACTTTAGGTAAGTTGATTAGATTGAAAGGTGCTTGGTTTATTCAGTCCGCCAGCCGAAACCACTTGTCCGGCTTTGCTGGACGACAGCCTTTCAAGACGAGAACGCCCATTCGTCAATGACTCCACCAAAGTAAGGAGAAAATCCTCACTTCCCTGAAAATTATCCCTGCCCAGCATTTTTTCATTACTACGTGGCAACTAGTACACCAACAGCGGTTGCGTTGGTGGAACTTGGAAGCCAGAATAGGTGAGAAATACGCATGGATTGTTAAACAGTTTCCCCGAAAAGAATAATTTGAAACCACCCGGGTGTAAATAATGGTCTGAAGGGGTGGAAACTAGGCACTTCAAAGTATCCGGGTCTGTACGCCCGGGGGAACAATCGCCACTTGTCGTCCGTTATGGCCACAGGACACCCCACCGTCGCCATGGTCTGAATGGACACGATGGAGGTCAAAGGTCAAGAGGGGGTAAGGACTTTGTTTGGAAATTTGGGAAGGGATTGTGTGGCATTTGCAGAGGCCCAAACTGTTTCAACTTCTGGCCGTTGTGAGAGGATAAGAGCGCGGGGCAACGGTTATTTGGGCTGTGTATTAATTCCTCTTCATACACGTGGCAAGGTTGGCTTTTTGTTCTACCCGGTGACGAGAACAGAATGATCGATGATGGAAAAAGCACAACGTGTGCAAGTGGAAGCTACATCACATTGACTCTACAGTGCAACAGGAGTCAATTCGTACACACATACATAAGTCCTTTGATTTTGCCCCTCTCCCCCAGTGTTTAATAGTACTGTAGTGGAACTTCCGGTTTTGATACCTTTGTTCTGGATATGCTATGGTCAACATTTTTGGGCGCTAGGTATCTTTGAGCTCGAGAAAAAGTAATACAGGCCCTTTACCGGCTTGTTCTGGAACTGCATGAATGTTCAAAATCTTTAACAGAGGGTAACTGAAGAAGGGGGTGTTATGCGACACGATACCAGGAAAGTTGTAATGTAGACTGTACATGGAGCTCGCCAAGTATCCTCTCTGCCTCGGCAATCTGTACCTCATACCACAACTCTACTGTGTTAGCATCATTTCGTCATTTGAATTCTTATCTTATTTGGTCCTCATTCAAGTGCTCTCACCTTTAGCCGTATATGTTCACAAAGAAATAGATCAGGGGCTTTTGTGACCACAGGGACAGGGCCCCATGCTGTCCGCAATGATGGGCCAATCCACTTCCCGGAGTACTGGTGGAAATGGTGTTTTCAGCACCAAGGACAGATACTACGACCGGTTCAGTAACACTGCGAAGACAATGACGCGGATTGAATGTAGTCACCGTTTATTTCAACGCATGAAAAGGACGCTTGCATACAAATACTCCACACATTATTTCCAGAAATACTCAAGAACTTTATTCAAGAGAAACGACAGACATTTCCCAGATCAGAAATGGACAATTATTTGGCACCATTTACAACGTTTTAGTCCCAAATTACACTAATAAGGACATTGTAACAATTCAAACTATAAACCGCAACAAGAGGAAGATTAGGCATTAAACAATCCTGTAGTGCATCATTCAAACTTGCTGGTCGTTTTGAAGAACTTCGTAATGGACTTCTGCTTCTTCAAACATGGCTGTATACAAAACATGGGGCAGATTTTACAAGATAAGTCCATAGTGCAGTCATCATACCGTTACTTGCTGATCGGTTTGAAGTACTGAGCGATGGACTTCTGCTTCTTGGCTTTCCTAAAGTGGTCGTAGATGTTCCGCTCGATGGCCAGGAGAGTGCCGTACATGGGAGAGTGCTGTAAGTTGTGGAATCTCATCCACCGACGGATGACGTCGATGGCTTCCTCCACTTCTGACAGAGTCGGTACAGCGCGGGGCTGGACGTTGGCACAGTTAGCTGGTTCAACCCTGACGGTTGAATCGCTCCGTGCTCCCGGACAGACTGCTTCCTCGGTGGCGGTTTCTGCCGAGTGAACTTCTTGCGACGCAGCTGTTGCAGGGTGGGACGGATCATCATCGTTGTGAGTAGGATCGGCCTTGACAGAAGCTCCGCCGCGATCGTCCGTTGTTTCTTGCTGGGTGTCTTCAACTGGGCGATCGGCGACGAACCGTGAAGAAGAGTCGGCATTCCCTCTTCTTGTCGAAATGTTGTGCCTCGTCTTCCACCTACCAAGCCAGCCATCGCTTGGTTTGAAGTCTTCGCATCCCAGACCCTCCGCCAGCGCTCTGGCCTTTTCCTTCAGGATAGGGCCGCTGACAGGCGCAGACCTTGCCTTGGCGTTCACGTACCACCGGTAGAGAGCCTCGTCAACTTCTGCGTTCTTCGCCTCGCGTTTCCTCTTACCGTTGGGGTTGCGGTTGCTGTCCCATGCTGGAGGATGGATGTCCTGTTCTGGTAAACCCTGGACACTTGTGACCGAGAGCAGCCGAACTTGCTGGCGACTTCAGTCTGAGACGTCTTCGGTACACCGTCCAGTATCTGGATGACCTTGACTTTGTCGGCCAAGGTCAGGTCGTTTCTCTTGCGCTGCGGCGTGACGATCGACATGACGATAGCAGAATTGTGATAGTCGATGCTCTCGTGAAGGACTCGGAGATCAGAATGAGACAGTAGCTGATAGAGACCCACCTTTTATTGTGTACAATGTGTTGTCCGAGAAATGAATTGTTGTCTGTGCAAACGTCGTCAAAGAACGCTTGCCGACTTTGACGTTCCCAAGCCGCCGCGCAGCCCTTTGTACATGTGTAGCACCGACATCTACAGACACCGTCAATTCGACGACTTGGTTTCAAATAGAAACCGCTTTTCTTTTGTGTTGGAAGAACAGACAATTATGTCGATAACTTTGTTAATTTTACTTTCAGTCCGAGACGAACTTGATCCGCACTGACCAGTGCGGAATACAATAAACCTTTGTCTTGCCCTGATTGTATTGTTTACATTTATCGCTAGGCGGCAGTACTGCATTGCTTACCAAAGCTGACCGTGTCGATGATTGGCTCTGCGCAGTAACAAAACATCCCAAACAGCCAATTGGACACCTTGCAAAGGATGTTGATATACTGGCAAAGCTGAAATGAATTTGAACATAATTTGGCAAACCTTCCAGACCTAAGTTTACAATGATCTTACATCAAGGTTGCAACGCGTATACTGAAGAAGTCTAGTACAATGTATGTGAATTGGCCTTGTCACGTCAGCGTAAAATCGCTAGAGGCCGCTGAAGATATATGTACTTTGGTTTGGTGTTTGGAAGAATTCGAGAACACCGAAAAATCTTTCACCTGAGGTCCATCTATGACCATGTACCAAACTTCTCCTGCCAGGTTGGTACAAAACTCTACATGCAGAAATCGTATGAGCTTCAGTTAAGTTCTTGTCCTTGGTCACACATGTCACATCGACAACAAAAGTGGCCCGCAGAATGTTAAAACCCGAAAGCTGTGCGTGTTCGTGCCAAAAGCGCCACCTAACGTAAACCATGTCAGGAAGAAAAGAAAGCGGTCTTGACAAACATTCCCTGTGTACATGTGGTCTATTCTCTGTTCGGAATAGCGCAGGTTGTTTTCTCTCATGCCGGTCCCACGTTGATGTTTATAGGACTGTACCTTTTGGGGAGCCACATTAGCAGATGTGGGGGTAGCCTCGCCTCCAGGCGTCATTGTGGACATGACAGAGACACTTACTGTGAACGTTGATGTTTACGACAGACCCTTCTTTCGAATCACCCACAAGCCGAACCTTTCCCCGACTAGTTTGACCTCAATGTAGCTACACGCCTCCATATATTACTGTTCTTGGTTTCGATGTTTTGTCAGAAATCTTTCCCCAAGACATAGATACACTGAATCGGACTTTTAGGTGAGTTTCATGTCCGAGGCTATGCCCTGTGTGTTCCCAGGTGCCACATATGCTATCCCCTCGCCTTGGGTGGCCCGCCAACCTTTGGCACTGTTCCCGTGAGCCTCTGCCCCCGAGAAGCCATCTATCCCCAGGTATCCGTACATTTTAGGAAGTGGTGACATTTCTCCACTATTTTCCTTTCGGAATCGACTACGACCACCGCAGATTGCTCGCACATGTGCCGAGTCCTCGGGACCGACCTCTCCCCGGCCTCAGCCGCGGGTCAGCGGCAGGGTCCCCCCGCCCAGCCACACGCCACACGCCGGTGTCATGACCCAGCACGGCCTCGGCAGCGGTGCCTAGTTGATACCCCACCTGGACGGTTCCCACCAACTGTAGTGTGGACGTTACCCCCACCCCGGTGTGCGCTTGCGCGAGGTGTTGGACTGTTCCATTCCACACTTGGGGGGTATTGAAGGCGGCTGTAGTTTAGACCAAAAGCGATGTGTTGACAGCCACTCCACGGAGTAGGGCGAGTCCAATGGTGTTAGTTCTTAGTCCTTTTGTTGACGTTGACGCTCCTTCCTGGCCATCCTTTTTTGCCTCCACGGCGGCAACTCTCTCGCTTTCAAAGGTTGAGACAGCCGTGTAGGACATCTGCCTCCAGGCACTGCGGTTGTGGCAGAGGGCTTGGAAAGCGATAGAGAGCGTCTAATCAACGTCCGGTTTGCGCATGCGTGTTGTGTTGGACGGTGCCATTCGGGACCACTTGGGGGGGGGTATTTGTTTGAGGCTTCAACTCGATGTACTCGATTCTCAACTGTGTTACATGCTCTAACCTCTAATCATGGGCTACCGATATCTTTTCCGTCATGACATTTCTATAAACTACAGACAAGTTATTAACCTTATATGCGCGAATACGACCTTATATGAGACGTTCTGCCGATATGCATAATACATTACGGGTTTCGAGCAGATGCAGTACGTTCTGGCTCAAGGAGGGCCATATCACGTGTCCTCACCATGGCAACCAAAATGGCTGCCAGGCTAGCAACCACAGTTTAGGGCACAACACAGTAATAGGGCTTTCCTATGTTAATATATGGGAATGATGTCAAAACAACGTGGTCAAAATTCATATACCTGAGTTTTTAGACCTTGAAGAACATACATTGGCATGGTAGGCCAACCTCTCAAGTCTCCATTCCCCCCAAAAATGAAAAAATCCTACGCACCTAAACCATGTGAGAATTCTAGCCTAACATTGAAAAGTGACCCCTGACCTCTCTGGGCAGCTGATGACCGCATCTAAACCTATATCTTCTTCGTTCAGCCAGCCAGACAACACATGAATTGCTGCAAGTCTGTTTTTTTCACCAAAATGAAAATACTACAACCCTTACCTATAACATCCAAGTCCAAAACAACATTTCCCTAGAAAAAGACTTCTTTACACTCTACATTACATTGCCATCTCTATATACTACAACTGGGCCCTCTGCGCCATTACTGACCTTTGCCCTTTACCAGATTTGTAGTCTGGTTGCCATCTGCTTTTTCTTGCCCCAAAAGTCATCAATCACACAAACAACCCTCTCACACAAGAATGCACACCCTTGCCTCAGTTGAGAAGCAGTTCCTACCAATTCCATTAGGGGTATCCTCTTGAGTAACGCGATTAATTTTTTGGAGAGCTGGTAGTACCGTGGCCGACAAGAACAAAATTTTACACCGCAACTTTTGGTGTTTTACACCGCAACTTTTGGTGTTTTACACTGCAACTTTTGGTGTTTTACACTGCAACTTTTGCTGTGTTTTACACTGCAACTTTTGCCGTGTTTTACACTGCAACTTTTGCTGTGTTTTACACTGCAACTTTTGGTGTTTTACACTGCAACTTTTGCTGTGTTTTATACTGCAACTTTTGCTGTGTGGAAAACTTACACCCCTCCCCTTTTATAATGGACGGTCCCCCTGTCAGGTCAAAGGTGACAACGATGGCGGCGGCCTGAGAGTCACAGTGTCTACATTTGTATACGAGCGATCGCTGTTTTTGTTTACATTATACGCATGCAAATTATTTGAAGACATATGCAAATTCTTGGTAGGCAAATCAGCCAACTGGCACCCACTTTTTGCCTACGGTGACGTCATGGCGATCGCTCGTATTGTTCCCTAATGATCGATAACTTACCTGAGTCAAGAGTCAACACTTCATAATTGAAAATAAGTCTTTATTGCTTCATAGTACCAAGTGGTGCCACATTTGACTCCCATAGGCCCAATATTTACTCATCAAATTATTAGCGACCTTGCGAGTCCGAATTCTCTAGCTAGAAAATGTCACGTGACTCAAAGGCGGGGAAACGTGGAAGACGAATATCGCCGCATGCAAGCGTTTATGACATCATGCTACGATAGTTTAAGCTAATTACATATTTACGCCTTCAGACAGACATCATTTCTATCATACCATGCGTCGACATCAACACGTAGCGGTGCAAACGTTACCAACATTCACTAGATAGCAACATAATTTGTAATCATTGGACCTGGTCGAAACATTTTTAAATTTATCCCGATCTATAGGCCAAAGGTAGAAAAACCTTTAGAAAAAAACTAACGTCACAACGTAGCCAAGCTTTTCCTCTAAAAAACTTATGCACGAAAAGGATAACTCAGTCGACGTAGTTTGCATGCCATCGTTGTCACCTTTGACCTGACAGGGGGACCGTCCATTATAAAAGGGGAGGGGTGTAAGTTTTCCACACAGCAAAAGTTGCAGTATAAAACACAGCAAAAGTTGCAGTGTAAAACACCAAAAGTTGCAGTGTAAAACACAGCAAAAGTTGCAGTGTAAAACACGGCAAAAGTTGCAGTGTAAAACACAGCAAAAGTTGCAGTGTAAAACACCCAAAGTTGCAGTGTAAAACACCAAAAGTTGCAGTGTAAAACACCAAAAGTTGCGGTGTAAAACACCAAAAGTTGCGGTGTAAAATTTTGTTCTTGTCGGCCACGGTATGGTAGAGACTGTTTTCTTAGAGTTCCACAACTTTGGTACTTTGCCCGTAAATTTCTCCTTTTCTTGAGTTTTTCCAACTACAAATTTCTATTTGTAAGATAGAAACTATGTTCCTGTCAACATAAATCCAGGTTACTTTTTGATCATAAGAACTATTTTTGCATGGGAGCTCAGAGAATTTGGTATTCCACAGTGACTTTGACCCAAATTTCCTGTCCCTTTTACTAGGTTACCGTCTCCACGTGGGGTCTAGAAATTTAATGCCTTCATAAAGTGTCTTACACAAGAACAAGACTAAAAAAAACTAGAGCTTTATATCATATGGTCCTTTCTTCACGAATGCATACTTTTCTTCTTCAATGCAACTTAGTTTGCGTACTATTGCTCTTAGAATGAAAGAAAAAATATTCCCATGCATAAACCAAAGTCTGGGTCTTGACAGAATTTTTTTAATATTATGAAGCATAAAGAACACATCATTATGTTACAACAAAATACTAGTAACTGATACAAAAAGTGACCTAACTCACAGATGGCAGTGTGTGCTAGCCTTTACAAGATAACTAACAGTAACAAACATGAAATCAACAAATAGAGACATTTCTATATACATTATATTGTCTACATGCTGTTAAGAAAAAAAACATATGACTGTTTTTTAAATCTAGACAATTATCCCCCCCCCAACATCCATTAGCTCTTATAAAAGTAGTTCAGTGGGGCAGAGATGAGCTGAAGGCAACCCCGCAGGCAATGTTTCACGATCTTCACCTGGACAAAGTCCGCATCCCCCACCCTGGTCACCTGTTGGCGGCAAAAGTTGATAATTGGAATCAGTGTAGGAAACTAAGAAGGTACATCTATATTCTCCACTCATAAATCATCTCTCTCCATGACTCCTTATCACTCTGAAAGTTAGCTGACACAAATCCTTTCAAAATGTTAACAAGAAAATATTTCTTACAGGTGGCTGAAGGACTCAACTCTCGTACCTTGCCAGGCAGAATGGGTTCCACCATACACTCCTCCAACAATGGCACAGGAATGTCTCAGGCGTGCTGCAGCCGGTATTCCGCTGTCTCCCAACTCGACAGCTATTCCCACACTGGAGGGGATGGAGAAGAAAAACAGAAATATCATCGGGCATACAAGATGGAAGCAGCTAACAAGATTAGGCAGCAAGCGAAGATAAGGGAATGGTTCACTGCCTACGATGAAAGGAAAGAACAAGGAACTTACAAAAAGTAAGACAGTGGCAGCTGCTGGAGGACAGTCTAAGTCTAAACGCCATTTCCACTTGCCCGAACCAACTTTTCACTTGCCCGAAATATAAATGCCATATTTTGATGCTTTCTTGATTACAGCAAGGAAATCGTTTTATCTTTTAATAAATAAAAACAAGTTATTATTTGGCAATTTTATGTTACTTAAGATGTGATACACATGTATGTTTAACAACATTGGACAATATTTACTGCTACTGAAACTATTTTAAAGTACAAACTTTTTGTACAACAACAAATGAAGAAAATGTTCAACTATTTGTTGCAATTTTCTACTTTACAGATACAAGTCTGAAGTAGTTGTATTGACTGAAAAATAATCAATTAAAGCTTGTGTACATAAAAAAGACAAACATATTCATTCAGCTAAACCACCTCCTTTACTGTACAGGATAGAAAACATAACAGTGTAGGCTAGCAGAATGATTAGTGAGAATCAACAAAAAAAGCTCCATTTAAATTGAACTTTCCAGTAATGTAAGACAAGTTTCAAGGAAACTTTTTTGTAATAAAATTCTATACTATTCTCAAAGTTTTCGGTATCAAAACAATCTAGGACCAAGATTGTCAAACCAAGGCAGTTAAAACAGAACAGATTTCCTCAGGAGAGTAGAAAAATCAGTCACGCATTTATTTATTCCATGCCTGTCAAACTGCCTTGGCCAGTGCTCGCGTCTGGGCCACGAGGGAAGATCTCATTTCAATCACCAACTTTGCCAACAATCACATCCTTGTGGCTATTCAGAACATTTTATCCTTCATTTTCCCCCAAAAAAATTAGCCCGATGGCAGTTCAGAAGCCCAAAACAATTCTGGAAACATCGCCTGACTTCAGGACCGCCATTCCCGCAAGATATCGTGATCACCTGACCCCCTCTAATGATATAAGGATATCAAGTCTCGCGAGACTTGGGGCGAGACTTAAAAAAACATGGCGACCCGGATGGAAAGAAGACGCTCGGCCTGGGTGTTCCGTGAAAATAAAGCTATTTTGTCGCTTTATTTGGAGATGTTCAGGAAACTATATGTTCACGGTGGTGACAGGTGCAGGAATAAGAAAGTCCAGGAATTATTTGTTAACTGTAATGATAAGTTCATGGTGCAGAAGTGGCACTGAAAACAGTGAACATAACAGTACCGTGAAAAAATCAGGAATTACAGTAACTGTTACATGTGTATCAGGGAAATGTAAGCCCTAACGACCAATCTCAAATGGCTCATTAGTAATGGTCTGTAATATATTTTTTGCAGCCTCCGCACAGTTGCTTTAAAAAAAACACACAGCAATATATTTAGAAAAAGTAAGTACATTTTAATTGCTGAGGAGAGCGTCTGGCACACGTGTTAGAGTGGGGTATTTTTGAACCGAAAATGACGAATAAAATCTCTTACAAGTTACAATGTGTGGGTGATAGAGCTTTACAGGGCTGACACAGTGTGACATATACAGAAGTACAGTGTGACATATACAGAAGTACGTCTTTGATATCTGAAAGGTATCTGAAACACCATGTCGTGCGTGCCGCAGTGCTTTCAGTGGACTCGGCGAAGATTGCGGCAATCATCCTTACAAAAAACTTACGAATATCCATATTTGATTTTTCGATTCCTTGAAAAGCATAAATATGTGGCCAACTTCCCTTTTTTCACGGGCATAATTCAAGAAATTTGGGCTGAGAAAATGCGTTTCGTGATTTTTCAAAATGGCGCAGGCAGCAACAACAATCAGGTCAATTGGGGTCATCGGAAGACTCCATTGGTTTGGGGGTAGATGTACCGACTTTTATTTAATTTTTTAGCATCAAATGGCGTGATTACATTACAAAAATATTTGGAATACATTATTAAAACTAATTTCTATCGTAAACTTAAGTCTGTAGTGAAAATTCTACAAAATATGTAAGCCTGAAAGGAGCACTATTTTTGTTGACCACCACACTGGCATAATGGCAGAGGCAGACAACCCACGCGGGAAGAAACCCAAGCCGTAAACAAAGGAAAGTTTTCGCTACGTTTTCATGTTCAAAAATGACCAAAAAACGGAAAATAAACGGCAACAGATGAACAATTATTTTGCTGTTAACTAAATGGACAGCATCTTGGTTCAAAAAATCTTGTTTACATGGTTGGAATTCGTTGTGGCGATGTCGGTCATGCGAAGCACTCACCGAAGAACAAAAAACATGGCGATGTCATTCTCTTCCACTTTTCGACTTACGGTACACTAGTAACGTGGCGATTGCGGAGAAACGATGGCAAAAACGGAAAGACAGACGTCGAACTTTTTCCACAAGGTGGATGTGATTCAACTGACAGCGAGTGAGAAGGAATTATCGCTCGGAGGAGCTTAGATTAAAGGAGTTTGCAGTCGGAAGAAACATGGCTTGGAGTCGACAGAAACTTTGTTGCTTGATTCGCTTTCAAGTTTTATGTAGGTAACATCGATGTTACTCGTACACAAGAACAGTAAATGGCAACCAGTGATTTTGTATATTTTAGTGGGAAGGTTTCATAGTCCCAGTAGATCAACTGAGTATCATGTCGAGTGCATGCAGTTTTGATATATAATTTTTTTTCAAGCCCACAACTAAAGCAAAAGAACAACAATTGAATTATAACATGTAATGTTATATTTGAAAAGAGGCTTACCTGTGCAATGAATGTTTTTATATGTTTGATAATAAAGACATAAATACATTTTTGTTCAATGGTAGTGAAAGCTTGTGTAACTGGGGGGGGGGGGCGAACTAACCGCCATTTCTCTATACTAGTGGTCACCTGGCCATAGTGGTCAATTTTGGCCAGTCCCTTGAGTGACCACTATAGACAGGTTTGACTGTACACATGAATCCATCCACACCCAATGAAACTTACTGTGCCTTTACCAAGATTTTAAGCCAAGATCTGATCAAAAGGCCCCTATCATGATCAGTTAGCCTGGATGCCAGACTGTTTCCAGGACCTAGACAGGCTAGCTCCTTGGCTCCAGGGCCAACAGGACACAAAACAGACTTTCTAACTTGCCCTTTACTCTTTCTGTCTCCAGTTACTTCTAAAGAGTCCGTTGAGTCTAGTGTTTTGTGTGTCCTGGGCACACTAGCATAGATGCACACATGCGACAAAGGATAATCCTCTGCTCCTGGCTAGGCTACCTGCCTACCTGGACAATAGCTTGTTGTTCAACTTTCCACCAATTATAGTACAAATGATGTTTGGTACCTGTTCCGATTCGCAAATCAACTCACAATGGGGATCCATATACAAAGAAAGACAAAGACAAATTGGAAAGGGTACAGAATCAAGCTGCAAGATTCTGTATGAACAACTATATAAGAGGTGCTAGTGTGACGGAAATGAAAAGAAACCTACAGTGGACCTCACTGGAAGACAGAAGAAAGATGTGTAGACTATGCATGATGTACAAAACGACTAATAAACTGGTGGATGTCCCAACTACTAAGTACCTAATACCAGCCCTGAAGAGGACAAGAAATAGCCACGCATTCAAGTACCAGAGTTATCAACCAAGGATTGAGGTGTTCAAGAATTCATTCTTTCCTAGAACTATCGCAGAGTGGAACTGACTGTCACCAAGTACAGTAGGGGCATTGTCAATAGATAGCTTTAAACAATGTCTAGAGCTAGAAGTTCAGGGGTTAGGTGTAACAAGTCGATCGGTGTAATATAGCCAGCTGCCGCCGCGCCGCGTGCCTGCGAAGCTGGTGTGCTACGCCAAAAGGCGGTTATACCGGCTATACAGATACAGATAGCACTATGGGCCTTCACAGCAATTTCATGGTTCTTACTCTCCTATTTTTGCTGCTTCAGAGAATTTAGAACTTTATACTACTTGCATGGGTACAGTCATTGAAAGACAGACTTGTTTCTCAGGCTGTCTCTACAGAAAGTTTAGGAATTCCGGAAGTAGTGCTTAACAATCCGCTATGCAACATCAGTACTGGAATACATCACAGGAATTCACATATACGGTACCTGCACTGCTCCAAATTGTACCTACATTATCCTGCATATTCAGGTGGTATTTCAAGCCCTTTGGTATGCTACATCAGTACACGGTACCTACACCTGTTCTGAGGTGTTTGACAATGCTGTGATGTCAGGTGAATTACAGAAGTCTATCTCTGTGAAAAAGAAAACGTCTCCGGCATTCCACAGAAAAACACCCCCTAAGAGTATGAAAGCCTCCTCTAATTAAAGTGGGCACATACCGAGGGTCTTTCTGAATGAAAAAAAATAGTTGAACATTTTCTTCAACTCTGATGCAGTTGAGCAAAACAAGGAGGTTAGAAATAAATTTAACCAGCTCCTTGTTTAATACAAAACCTCCTTTTATTTCCTTTTCAGTCCATTTAGGTTCTTTTCAAGCCAAACCCAATACCAATGGACCTGGAATCCTCAGTTTTAACACAACACAAGTTGCTTGAACAAACAAACTCCCTACAGGTTCCCATTGTTTTCCCCACCAAACCAGCTAGGTTCTTCATAGGTTATATTAAGTCCGTTGAATTTCTATTTGCACTCAGAGCATCATAAAAATATCACATATATCCTCCCTTCTTTCATAAAAGGACAATGGTATAAAACTGTACATTGATTGTCTTACAACAAGACAATGTCATGAATTTCTACCAAGTCATATTTTTCATCCCTGACAGAACTCAGGGTTCAAAATACCCACTCTCACTCTTTAGCAAACAAGACTCTAGTCATGTTTTCTATGTGAGACTTGAACATGGAAACGTCAGGTTGCCTGGCACGACCCACCTAGCACGCTTATTATTTTGTTAAGCTTATCTTTTTATAACCCTGATGAAGGTAACTTAGACATCCAGGTAAACAATATTCAAAGACGAATCAAACTTTACTACTGGATAAATTATCATGGTGATTACTTCAGGACATTTCCAGGAGGCCATCTATAGGTGCAGCTACAACCCCACTAACTGGAAGGGAGGATTTCCCATAGAACTCTCCAGTACATGCAGTTGTTCCTGCCTCTGGTGTTGTATTAGTATTACCATAATCTACCTTATCATCATTTACATAACAAAAACAGTGACACTTATGTGTCTTTCACTCTCTGACCATCGGGCAAGTGGATTTTTTTGAAAACTTGTCCAACCCTGTTTGTGCCACTAGCAAGAAGATAAGAGACCACCCAGTTTAAATTTCACACACGCCTATTGTTTTTTTTTCCGCCTCATTAGTAAGGATCTCTAATCAGCTGTCTGTAATGTTATCGCAGGCCTCTAACAGTTGCTAAAAAACAAAACACAGCAATATCTTTAGAAACGGTAGTACATTTTATTATGGGATATTTAAAACCTTTGTAATATAGGATTGTTTGACCAAATTTGTATACCAAAAGAACTCTGATTGGCTAATATTTTGGGGGTATCATTAAAAGTTCTACGCCCATTATAAAAAGGGTACAGGGATCTCTTGATCTGCTACAAATATTCATACTTTCTACAAACTAAGTACGCAGCAGTGTAGTACCCGACCAAGAACCAGCCGTATGCGCTATCAAGGTATCAAGAACAACAGATCTACTGGCTGCTGCAGTATATCAAGGTATCAAGAACAACAGATCTACTGGCTGCTGCAGTATCAACTAACACGGTACGATGTTTTTTTACCCGACCTGGGGTTATAGAGCGTGCGAATACTAGTGGGGATGCGTTGATGAAGGATAGACATCCAGGTAAACGATACTCGTAAGAAAATTCAAACTCTACTACTGGATCAGTTACGGATTTTTATTTCCAGACGTTTCGAGTGACATCCATCACTCTTCTTCAGCGTCACAACTGAACAGAGAACCGATTCACTCTTATATACAAGTAACTAGAAAAACCGGTTAAACAACAAGGTCCGTAAGAAGCTTTATCATGTAAAATTACCTGTATATTGCGTTACCTATATATTGCGTGAACCGTTCTTTTACATGATAAAGCTTCTTACGGACCTTGTTGTGTAACCGGTTTTTTCTAGTTACTTGTATATAAGAGTGAATCGGTTCTCTGTTCAATTGTGACGCTGAAGAAGAGTGATGGATGTCACTCGAAACGTCCGGAAATAAACATCCGTAACTGATCCAGTAGTAGAGTTTGAATTTTCTTACGACTACTGGGGATGGTACCCAGGCTAGGTAGGGGGGAGGGGGGCTGGTCCATTTTATATAATATAGATATCGACAAACCTTTAGATGCTTTGCTCCACTTTTTTGATCTCATCCCTCATCCGTCTGAAACGAGCCGGAATCCTGACACCTCTACCGCTCTTTCTTGACCGCATCTTATCGCAGGGAGATAGGATGTCTTTGATAATTTGTAGACTAAACTGTTCTACTTGTAGAGGAATTTACAACATGGCGTCGCTGTTCAATCTCGCAAGGGATTATGGGATGGAAGAGCCCATTCGGTCCAGAGGGGTCGCGCCTAACGGCTCTATGGTGAAACCACTAGAAACAAGCACTTAAAAACACATTTACTTTTATTCCAAACCTCAAGTCTTAACCCCCACTGCAAGGCTAATTTGTCAGGTTTCTTTTGGTACAAATAGTGGAAGTTCGACTCCTGCTTGTTTGTGAGTTACAGCGCAAATACTGAAATGAAACCTGGATTTCACCCCCTGTTCAAGTGGAACAGTCCATTCACCCAGGTCCCATTCACGATAGAAGGTCAAGTCTTGCCAAAGGTCAAACTTTTTGGGCAGATTTGAAAAATACACATTCTTCTGTCCTACTTACCACAAAACTGGGCCTGTCTGAGCAAAATTTCCCCAGGAAAAAAATTATTTAAAAAATAAGTCCAAAAATAAATCGTTACCCCGCATGTGCAGGTCACAGTATTAATTTAATGGGCGATGACGCGGGTATAGAAAGTAGTGCAGCGAATATTCTGGAAGGCTGGGTAGAAAGACTGATAAGAGCGTCAGCCAGATGTAAATTGTGCTGTGTGGTGTAGGAATGTATCGGGTTTGAGACTGTGTGATTTGAATTGTGAAGGTTTTGCAGTTCGTGTATAAATGCGCCGTATTGCGCAACTGGCTTTCCGGGTGAGTCGGCTGCAGTTCAGGTCACGCCCGTAGGAGGCGATTTCAAAGTGTACGTTACGCGCAGATACGCCGACAGGATTTGTTCGTTTCTAGCATGGTAACGGGGGGTGCCCTAATTCCGACCCATCCCTAATACCGAACTAGTTTGAAAAATCCTTGTTGCGGCGTTATGCATGGGAGCACGTGCCTAAAAATAATCACAAGAATGGACTATGTTTTTGTGTTGATATCGGCAATCTCACAAAGTTTGTTTTAGTTCCTACACTCCGACAACAGACGAGTGAAAAATCTGTGTGAATTCGACGCTTGTTCGGGGGTTGACGAGCGTGTCAAAAATGCACGTTTTGCTTTTCAAACAGCCACTTTGGAGCAAGTCGCGTAATCGTAAAAAGAGGACTTGTTTGGGACAGAAAACATGTGTAGATTGTTTTAGTCATAATATGTGTATTATTATTTCTAAACTCTCTTCTCAGATCGACCTGTGTTAAACACTAGGTCGGAATTAGGGCACCCCTGTCGCGATAGAACGTTCCACCGGCAAAATGACAAGAAAACTGCCGTGCGTTTCGTGAACCATTACGATTGGTGCAAGCCGCTACACTCAGGTGAAATACACAGCTGTGCAGCTTTAATCGTTGTGATCTTTATCTGTCAATATTATATCTCATGTTGCGCGGGTTTTTGGTCAGATAATCTATTACCAAAGGTCTGTGCGTTTGCATGGAGCATAGGGTTAGCACGGAATTAGGGCACCCCCCGTTAATAATAGACAGGTACGGAAACGGCGGCACTCACGAGATCGAGGCTCGTTTCACGCTCAAGGGACGATGGGTAGACTTCCTGGCGGCAAAGTCAAATTTTTCCTGTTCTACATCACATGTCTTAGCGAGTTTTTGAGTTGTGATTGTTGATTTTTTAGAAATTTTGTACACATCATTATCAAGATATGTAAATATTTATCCTAAACTTACACTTAGGCCATTCCAATGAAATTTCTTGGTCCTGGGATAATTTTCAGGAAATTCCTGGATACTTGTCTTCTGTGAAAACATGATACTTCTAGCTTCTCATCCCCCCAATGCCTCCACTGTGCTGAAGTGTCATCTTGTTGTGAAATCATACTTTGATTATTTATAAAAGAATAAAAAAATAAGGCAACACAGACACTTTGATGACAGGTTTTTTTAATGACTATCAAAAGGAATGCACAAAATTGGTACAATACAGGCAATACCTTGGGTTTATGAAAACAATATCTTAAAAATTGTACACAGAGACATAACAAGTTATTCCTATCATAATTATAATGATTCTAGTCAAAATGCATGTATCTACAACCTTCCAATAAATTAAGGTATGTCTTACCAGAATTGATCCTAATGTAAGATGGTAGTTTTAGAGTAGGTAGATCAAAGACATAGTTTTATGTATTATGTAAAATGTTGTCACTCTCTGCTGTTTAGCACCTTGCCTGTCTGCCAGTATCAATATACACCACAAAAAGGTGGCTAGACAAGTCCAGTTAACACTTACATGTGGGCTGCCGTATTGTCTACCAATCAAGGTCAGAGTCTGTTACGTGCATAATTAGAATGACTATAAAGTTAGGACAGAGGAAAGCTAGCCAGTCAGTTGCTCACAAGGTTACGAGAGAGTCTAGTCGGAGTTACTTCTGAGTGTCCTGTGTCCGTTCCAACTGAACAAGTAAGTCCTTATATTCGTCTATAAAAAAGTACACAACACAATGTCCGATTGTTAATGTAACTGAGGCTCTTGTTAGTTGTCAGGAACTGTAGAAGAAGGGTTGGATATCTTGTCGTTACAATGCTGTGGATGTTTATTATTGTGTTACACTGTGAATAAATACACTCTTCCGAAAGCAGAATCCAGTATCCGAATCGTGCTTGCTTGAATGTTTAGGTATAAGCTAACATAGAGCAAAAAGGTTATTGTTACAAATTGGTGCCGTGACCAGGATTCTGCTCCCTCGGTGGAGTGCCAGGGGGGGCCTGACGACTGTGTCTTCAGTAGAGATTTCGGCCACTAAGCTAGTTATGTTCTCCCTACTTTTCTCTAGGGACGTAGGACAGTCAGGTAGGGGGTGGAATAAGCCAATTACCACCCCTTTGGGGATAACTACAGCTTCCCTGTTTTCATTCACTAGCAGAGTCCTAGCTTTACCCCTAGTGACACTATCCGCTACCATCTCCGCTTTTATGCCAAACCGTTCTAGTGACGCGACGGGCTCTACAATGCCGGCGCTGACCACGTCACCGGCACGATTAACAACTTTGCCAGGGGTCATGACGGAAGTAAGGCTCTGACGGACCCTGAATGTCTTCCAGGAATTGTGCCTGAGTGCAAGCTTCGTGGAGTGTTTTGAGACGGAGTTTTTTGACCTCCAAACTGAGTTCGGGATTTCCCAATCGGTCCATGAACAACTGTTTAGCTAGCCTGTCCCTGATTTCTAGGGGGGTGTTTGGGTGCACGCGCGATATCACATGCATAAGACGGATCTCAAACTTTTGGAGAGACTCGCCTGGTTTGCGGCTGATTACATTGAGCTCCCCCTCGTAGTGTGTGGGGTCTTCACTTTACATATTATAAAATAGAACATTATAATACCAACAATGCAATCGCTTGACTAGCATCAATTAGTTGTATAGCTTGCTTACAGGTCCAGGTAAAGTTGGGATGAGGAATCCCAAGTCATCCAGAAATAGATAGGAAATTATCAGCATCATTATAATGAAGAAATAAATAATAAACAATATATCTTTAAAATACATTGTCATCCGATTGTCATGTTTTAATCCAAGGTATGAATATTCTGGTTTTAACATTAAATAATGAATGGGACTTGAAGATAGCAATAGAAGGTGATCTGGTGTCTAAGGCAGGGCTGAACTCCACATTCCTGGTGCAGAACAAACCAGTACCTCACTTGGTCCTGTACTTCAACTAGAAAATAAAGAGAATAATAATGAGATAAAAGTACCATTTGCTTTTCTTTCTGCAGACAATCAGTAACTGAAATACTGTCAACATTCAGACTGCATCACATAACATTGCATGGATAATTCTCTGGTTCATGCATTACATTTCTATTCATACACCATGAATGACTTTGTATGGCTTTTTCTAAGTTGATACTTCATCATGGGTTCCTATTCCACAATAACATTACTGGCTGTGCAGCTCATAGATGGTCATATGTGTTTAAAATAAGATCCAAACATTCATGAATACACACAATTACTGCAGGTGGGGGAGGGGAGGGGAGGGGAGCTGGTCAATGTATAAATAATACACTAGGTGTATCATTCTTCTGTGCAAATGTTTCTGATTGATAGGCATGTATCTCTTTGAAATTACAACATATGTTAGAGGTGTATATGTTCTACTATTCTACTTTATTTGGGAAAAGATCCTTTATTTCTTTGAGAATTTCTTCCTAGGCTTATGGTTGACACCCAAAGCAGTTTTGAGTGTGAACAAAATGGATGACAAAATTTCGAACATGTTTGAAAGTCTATAATTCTTTATCAAAAAACATCTACATTCTCAATATCCTGCAATATGTTGGACTTACATATGTACTTTTGTTTCATTTGACTTTTAAAGAAATCTGTTGTGGTATTGAAATCTATGCCGGTACTTGAAATTCCCATACTGTAAAGAATATGGCTGACAAAATGTTGGGAAGTTTGACTTTGAGAGTCTATATTTCTGGATCAAATGAAAGGATCTTTTCTATATATCCTGCAGTGGTGTGACAGGGAATATGTAGTTATGTTTCATTTGACTTTGAAGATCATTCTATATGTTTAAATTTATACCAGCACATGATGTTCACCCACTGTAAACAATATGGCTGACAAAATATTAAGCAACTTTGACAGTCTATACATCTGGATCAAAAGTCATGATCACTTTGATATTCCAGAATATGTGGGAGTGATATAAGTAGTCAAGTTTCATTTTACTTTCAACAAGATAAGTTCATGTATTTGAATTTATGACAGCACTTGTAAACAAGATGGCTGCCCAATTTAAGCAAATGTTAGGTCAGTTTGAAAATCTATATTTCTGGATCAAATGAATAGATCTCTTCAATATCCCAAAATAATTTAGGGGGTATATGTAGTTATGTTTTACTTGACTTTGAAGAAGATCAGTTGTTTTTTTTAAATTTATGCCAGCACTTGAAGTTGAGGAATGTAAACAAGATGGCCGCCAAAATGTTAGGTAACTTTGAAAATTAATATTTCTAGATCATATACAAAGATCTGTTCAACATCCTGATATAATTTAAGGGGGTATATGTACTTAAGTTTTATTTGACTTTGAAGAAGATCAGTTGATTTTTTTATAATTTATGCCAGCACTTGAAGTTGAGGAATGTAAACAAGATGGCTACCAAAATGTTAGGTAACTTTTGACAGTCTATATTTGTTCATCAAATACCTGGATCTCTTCCATATCCTGGAATAGTTTGGGGGGATATATTTTGCTGTGTTTCATTTCATTTTAAACAAGATTAGTTGATTTTTTTTTTTAATTTATGCCAGCACTTAAAGTACACACACTGTAAACAACATGGCTGACTAAATTTTAGGTAAGTTTGACAGTCTATATTTCTAAATAAGAAGTTGGCATCTCCTTAATATTCCAGAATGTGTGGGAGTGATGTATGTAGTCATGTTTGATTTCACTTTGCAGAACATCAGTTGAATTTTTATAATTTATGCCAGTGCTTGAAGTTCACATGGTGTAAACAAAAATGGCTGCCCAAATTTGAAGCAACTTTGACAGTCTCTATTTCTGGATCAAAAGTCCTGATTTCTTTCATATTCCGGAATATGTTGGTTTGGTTTGATATATGTATTGAAGTTTTATCCTACTTTCAAAAAGATCGTGTCATATTTTTGAATTTATGCCAGCGCTTGAACCAAACACACTTTGTTCAGTGGGTGGGAGGGGGGCAAATACATTGTGGATTCAATTTCTCGACATCGGTTCCACTGATTATTTTCAGGTTTTCAGTCTTAAAAGGGCCCATATAGTAGTAATTAAATCAGTACTTGAAATGCGATTTCGAACTACCATACTATCACAGATCAAATTTTTAATGTCGTCAGAGGGCACAAACTGCAGTTTCCCAGGACGAAAGGTTCAGAAACAGGGCAATCGGCTCTTCTATAAGTACAAGTCACATGAAAGATGAAGCACCAATGTATCCTACGTCTGTACGTACCTGGCATGTAGTCTTGCGTGGTCATCCTGGTGAACTGTGATCTGTTTTCCAACATGTACTTCATGAGCCGCCATCTTCCTTGGCGGCCATTTTTGTAACAAGCCTAAATTCCCATAAAGCATTGTGTTTCCCCACCATTGCACTTAGCACCATGCTAAGTCCGCCATTACGCTGCCTCTCGCAGACTCTCGTGCGTTCTCGCGATGTTTCGCGTCTGACTAAATGGACAATGACCTGCAGTACCGGCAAGGGTCGCTAGATAGCGTTCATGTACGGTCACTAATTGCAATATTACTAGTATATCATGGACATACATGTGCTAGCAGGTACCGGGGTTATTATATTTATGTACCTTCAACCTAGTACTTCATGCTTTTAAATCTTTACTTCTTTATAGCAATTTCAAACAGCCTGTAAGCAAAGCTATTCATACACAGAATTCAATGCTGACAACAAATATGCTGAAATTTGACTAACTTTTAGAGTGCATATTTCTTAATTAAAAAAGAGGTATTAAGTTGACCTTCCCCGAATAGATGTAGAGATACAAGTACTAAAAACTTACACTACTTTGGGGAAAAGACATTTACCAGTATTTTCTCCTAGCTCCTGCCAGAAGATATTACAAAATAAACACGAGAGTCATAGACTTCTGTAAAGCAATATTGTCAGACCATATTTTACTAACTTAGAATGTCTACATTTCTTGTTTAAAAGCATGTGTTTGTTTCATAGTCCCATGTAGGTTGGAAAGACATCAGTACTAATGATTTGTACTATTTTGGGGGAAATCATACATATAGTTCTTGGGCTTGGTCAGGGAATATTGAAGGGACAGAGAGTACAGGAATATGGCCAACCAAATTTGCAGCTACTTGCAAATTCTATTATTTTTTTATTGAAAGCATGTGTTACTTTGATAATCCTACACATGTTGGAGAGATATATAAGTACTGTTAACTGTTAACTCATACCACTTTTTTTCAAATATCAGATGTGGTTTGTAATTCCAGTCAATGGTTTAATGTGGCAGAATCTGTACATGGCTACAACACTAAAATTTGGGCCAACTTCCAAAGTGGATATAACTTCATCAAAACCATGAATCGACTTGACATTCCTCATGGCTTAGAGACACATAAATACTATTGACTCAAAGTATTTTTTACTAAGATCAGACATGTTTTGGATTTGCGGCCAATTTTGGAATGTTGGTGGGTGGTTGTGACCAAAATGTCCGCCATTATTTGGTCAAGTTTCAAAGTCTATATTTTTTCATCAAAAGCATGCATGAACCTGATATTCCCTTGTATGACAGGGACATAAAAGTACAATTGAGTCATAGTACTTTTTGGAAAAATCAGAAGTGTTTTTTCTAATTCTGACCAGATTTTGAATGGAGCTGTTGTGAACAATATGGCCACCATTATTTTGGCCAACTTTCAAAGTCTATATTTCTTCCTCAAAAGCATGGATTGTTTTGACATTCTCTCATGGCTTAGAGACATATAAGTACTATTGACTGATAGTACTTTTTTAAAGATCAGACATGTTTTGGATTTCCGGCCAATTTTGGAAAGTTGGTGGGTGTGACCAATATGGCCGCCATTATTTTGGTAAACTTTCAAAGTCTATATCTCTTTATTAAAAGTATGCATGAGCTTCATATCCCCCTGTGTGACAGGGACATATAAGTACTATTGACTCATAGTCATTTTTTAAATATTAGTTATACTTTTCACTGTTTGTTCATTCATTGAAAGGCCTAGTGTGAACAAAATGGTTGCCCAATTTTTAGCCAGCTTTGCAGGTGTATATTTTCTGATCACAAGCATGGATTGGTTCAGTATTCCCTCATATATTGTAGAAATATAAGTACTACTTATACATGCTACTTTGGTGAGATGTACACCAGCTGATCAAATTCCAGGGAATGTTGAAACCAATACACTTCTGTCCTGTGGGAGGGGGGCAGGTAGACATAATGTCAACATTGCCAAGTCATTTTCTCACGATCGGTAAGGCCGATTGACTTCAAATTTTCTGTGTAAGTAGGGTCTATCAAGTTCTAACGAAGGCTGTGATCCAAATTCAGCTACATATTAATGTACCTGTTTACGTCTCATTTTAACACTTCCAAATTGAACAAAGTGTGGTATCAGAAGGTCATCTGTAGATATAAGAGGTTGAAGAAAGACAATCGGAATTTTACCAAGTGCATATGCCATGCAAAATGAAACACCAATATAGTCCCTGTCCATACCCACCTTCCTTCTTATTGTCCTGATACCATTACGTCTTCTTCTTCTTCTTAGTGGATTGGCGACCAACATCAACGTACTGATGGCTTTGCCGCACTTGGTTGGTTTGGTGAGGTCAGAGGTCACGGTAGCATGTTGATGTTTTTCAAAGTACTGTGTCAGTACGTTGACTCTCGCAGACACTCGTGCGTTCTCGCGATGTTTCGCGCGCAGGCCGAACGTTTTGTTCTAACATCTAAGCGCCGGGCAACTAAATGATCAATTTCAGGGCTCTTGGAACAGCTTGGAAGTGTTCTAAAACTTATCCCATCTTCTTGTCTTTTGGTGGTCTTGAAGGGGGGTCAGAGGTCATGCTGCCCGTGTTTATATTTTATCATGATATTGCGTTTGACTAAATGGACAATTTGGAAGTTTGAAAGTTAGTTCTTTGGGCTAGGAGCAGGCTTCGGGTGACTCACTGGATTGAGATTTCCTAAGAAATTCTTTGATTTCAGTGTTTTTGACCATTTTTCTTGTTCAAGGACCTGCAGTACCAGTAAGGGTCGCTAGATAGCGTTCATGTACGGTCAGTAATCACAATATCAACCGAGGACGGGATGGGAGTATTTACTGAAGGGTTTATTGCAGATTTAAACAGCCGATAGAGTTTAGAGGTCTGTCAACAGACATAGCCGGGGGGTTCACGGGCCTGCAGTTCCCACAAGAATCGCGGATACGTCAGGTCAGGCCGCCATCTTGAGTCGCGCATGGAATTGTGGGAACGCTTGGGGGCAAGCTTGTATAACCTTCACAAACAGCTAGACGGCGTTTTTTGCGCATACTACAACTATATAAAGTGTTTGCGCTGTTTTTGGGTGTGAGAACGATAGGAGATATCCTGAAAAGTGAGTTCCTATTGATATGAAACTAAACATGCTGATAAATGTATAGTTAACTGTTACATTATGTATAACCTCCTTGGTAACGTTATATTACCACCCAAGATACTACTGGTTTCTCTTCTGCAACTTACGTCTGTACCGCTAGGAGCGCCTTTTTGTGGGCCAAGTCTGGCCTTTTGAACCGCCATATGCCTTAACTGCACTTTATTCCATATGATTTTATTCTATTAAGTAAGATTTTACATGAGTGAGAAGGAAATGGTAAAAACGGTGCGGCATCCTTGACAAAAATGGCGGGAAGTTGCACTCTAGCTGGTCTTCGCCCTCAGGTGTTTAACAACTTGAAGCAGATTAACCATATAACTTTACTACATGTATTGACGTTTGATCCCTTCATAAAAATACTAACTTTCATATTCTCATAAGAAAAGTAACGCACACGACGTCGTTTTGATGTCATGTCGTCTGAAATTGATGAAAAAATGGCGGGAAGTTGTACCGTAATCGGTCTTCGTCCGCAGGTGTTTAATACCTTCCAGCAGAGTAACCATTCCCAACATATTATCTTCAAGTCAAGACGAAAGGACGTCAAAACTACGCCGTGTGCGTTTCTCTTTTTTACTGAAATATCAAAGTAGAGATCATTTTGAAATGATAGAAAGCGATTTAATACAAGCTGTAAAAATTATATGGTTACTCTGCTTCGAGATGTTTAAAAACGTGCGGGTGGAAACCAGCTACGATACAACTCCCCGCTATCTTTTCTATAATTCAATACGGCATGACGGCAACACGACGACGTGTGCGTTTATTTATTTACAAGAATATCAAACTATGAATCATTCCGAAATGACAGAAAGTTATTACAAGTCGTAAAGGGATTGAAAGTCATCGCAAGTTGTAAAATTTTATGATTATATATTTTAACACATCAAACGGGTGGTTTTACATAACGTCTTGATCTACAGGAGTGAATTTGGAATAATTGCTAAACATAGATGATACGAATAAAGTGTACTCTTCGCAATACTATACATTTACCAGAAATGGCACATTATTTTATAATACATAAATGTAGAATTAATATTCACAAACAAACAAATAAAACAGGCGGATTACTATTACTGGTCAACGTACTGGCAATTTCATGAAAAAACAGTATAGCCCCTTGTCACACTTTCATGAATTTGGCCCCCTGAACTAGCCGAACGCCGGCTGTTTAAGGGCGTGTTCAGGGATCACATTTGACTCCAATCTAACTAAACTATCTAAACTCATAAACATTCCAGACTTGTTAGAACTGTACAAGTGACAATCTCTACCATACTACCAGGCAAACCTTGGCAAGACAGTGTTGTCATTACTCTATATTCCAGGTCTATATTCTGGGTTAGTCCAATAACTTCTTTATGTACAGCTGTACATAAATTCCTTATTCTCATTATGTTTCAAACCCTAACTGTGTCAAGCATTTTTTTTTTAAATTGGGACAATACTATTTCAGCAAATGACACAGATTGAGTGGGGCCACCGTGCCTGCTATAACCTGAGTGGACCATGGAAAAGTTAGCTGGACATAGTCAATGTGCTATGTACGTAATCTATCAAAAGTTTCGGTGTGAGGCGCAAAAAGGCTAGGGATTCACGATGGTGCGTTAAGAAACAAATAATTAATCGATCTAGTCTAGGCGTGGCGGGGTGTGCCCGCTAATTTTATGGTGTAAAAGCTAGATTTTTTTCTTTACAAACCAACATGTAGTCACAAGACGTGGTGACGGCATAATCAAGTTAAGCTGAGAGGTGATTGTTGAGACGTGCAAAGCAGCATATCTAGAAAATACACGGGAGAGTTGGCCCGCAGGCATCGACCAGTTCTTCGGCTAGCATTTCTATTCGCTAAAGTCTCAACACACAAAATAGAAAACATAGCAGAAACAATAGCGTGCTACAATACCTTTCAAAACCACAAACGTTCGCAGACGTTATACACGGCTAGAGTTCAGTGGTGGCA